TTTTTTTTTTTTTTTTTTTTTTTTTTTTTTTTAGTGAAAACTTGTTTCTTTATTTATTTTTATTCTAAGAAAAATATCTAAGACTGTTTTCATAAATTTTTAAATAAATTTTTTGTTTTTGTAAAATAGATGTAATGAGTTAAAAGTATTATATTTATCAAACATTTTTTTTAAGGTCCCTATTTATGAAAAAAGTTGTCAAGTTATCCAGAAGCTATCCATATATTAAAAAATCAACAAATTATATATAATACATAATATAAAAAGTTGAAAAAAAAATCTACATATTTTTTGTAATATTTATAATTTTTAAATTATATATATCTTTACTATCCATATCATAACTATTTTATTATATAATTGCAGCCGGCATAGAAGCAGTCAACGTTATTCAAGTGATGATTTATACAAACCACGTCCACTATTTTCAAGTTCTTCTCGCAGAAGTAGGAGATCTAATCAGGTATAGCTAGTAGCTAGTAATTTAAGATGTTGAATTGTGTTTTACTTTATATAATACAAAAAAGAAATCCTAGTTGTTGATTCTAGTAATATACATTTTATATCATATTTGAATCAAATATTTTTAAACTTTAAAATACTGATGTGACCAAGAAAAAAATCTGTAAGTTATATATCTAATATGTTTAAAATTTAAATTTCTAAATTTTTTTATGCAAAACTTCATCATATAAATCAACATATATTAATATTTGTTTCAAATATATGTTATATTAGAAATAAGTTGACATTCATAATTAAATTCATAATTTTAAATTGGCTATTTATACTTATTTGAAAAAAAATATATTTAGGAATTCCTAAATGATATAATTTAAGCAGGAATTACTTATGTAGAAATATTGAATTTAATGCAGTATTATTAAAATACGCAATTAAAAAATATTTTTAAATAAAAATAGACATTTTTTTTTGAAGAAAAATAATATAATATACAATATTTTAAAAAATTCAAAAAAATATGAATATTGTGAAAAAAATAAATGCATTGAATTGAATTGTACAGTTATTAAATTTAATTAAAATTGGTTGTAAAATTGTACTTTTTCAAAGAACTGTATAAATTTTGTACAAATAATGTACAAAATGTTTAAGTTAATCATTCAAACTATATTGAAGAATACATATTTAAGTAGTTCTCATTTATAAAAAAAAAGAAAAAGGATAGTTAATATTTTTTCATATTGCTTATATGAAATTTTTTGTATAAAGCTCAACTTCTTATAAAAAATAAATAAATCTGCAATTAATGTGCAATTTTTATTAATATAAATGTACACATTGAAAAAGTATATAAAAGTACATATTTATAGGGCTACAAATTAAAGAATTATTATATATGCACTATTTGACATGAATATAAGTTTTGTATATATTAACAAAAATTTTATATAAATATAATTTTTTTTTTTAAGCTCTTATTCATCAAGTTTACATTATGATAAGAAATATGTGTAAAAATGTTGCAACCTGATAAGATTAAAAGGAAGGCAATTGTTACTTTTAGTTAGTTAGTATCTTATTCTAATATAAGATTTTACAAAAGTAATATTATTTATGTTTTTTTATATATTCTACTGATAATTTCTTTATACTTAAGTTTAACAAAATAGATAGAAATTGAAACTAATTATATTATGGTGTTTAAAATAATTTTAAGCAATAATTTTCTTTTTTCTTATTTTTCTTTTTTATTCTTTTTTTTTAATAAAACAATAATAATAAAATTGTAATACAAAGGAATTATTATCTCATTTTTCATACAAACTTTCTATCTATTTAAAGATTGTAATATTAAATTTTTACAAAAAATGTTACATTTATTAATAAGCGTATTCTTTATTATTCCATATATGCATAAGTTTGTATAAATATGTACATAAAAGTATATTATACTTTATTACTGTAAAAATATTGTAGAATATTTTTTCCAACTTTTTAAGATATTTATTGCCATATGTAACATAGTAAACAATTTATAAAACTCATTATTATTATATTATAATTGCTTTAAAATAAAATGACTTTTTGTATACATGTTAAAAAGTTTAAATATTTAAATCCTTTCTTGAATTTTAAATAATATAAATATTATAAAAAATATTATAAAAAAATTAATCATATTATATTCTTTGGTGTATTTCAATTGAAATTTTTTTAAATAATTAAAACAATATATGTAAAAAAGATTTCATTTTATTTATTGTAAATAATAAAATTGAAATAATAATTGTATGTACCTACATGTAAGTATTTACATATATATGTGTATATATAGATGATATAAATTTTTAAATCACAGACTAAATTGATTAAATAAAAAAACAGGTTATTAAGACATACATTTCATAATTATCCGAAATTAGTAATTAAATAATTATATTATACAGGATGTCAATATATTTTTGATATTTTGGACATTTAATTCTAGACATCAAAATCAAAATATAAAAATTTTGATTGAAGTTTATTTATTAAAATTATAAGAAATTTAAATTCGCATTAAATAAAGCAGTAGAAATGGAATGTAACGGTCATGATAGAAGATAGAATCTTACTTTATTTATGAATCATTTTATTTAACACAAAACTTTAATTATTTATAATTTAATAAGTATATTTAAACTAACATTTTTGTCATCAACTTTTGTGTTTATTTTGACCTTTAAAATCGATCCTCTAAAGATATCGCACGAATATATATATTAACACCTGTACATTAAAAGCTTTAATTACATTTGTTGAATCATTCTGGTTTTTTCAACTCATGAAAAATAATATCGATCAACTTTACGTATTTAATTTTTAATTAGGTATTTAAATTTTAGTATTTAAATTAGTTTTATGCAATATAATCGAACATTTTTATGTATTATTCAAAAAATTATGACATAAATTGAATTTTCATACATTTAAAACTTATATTACATAACTCATTCGATTAAATCATTTTAGAAAAGTATTAGCGTGTAAAGTACTACACACGATAGTTCATAATCTTGATATTTTCTATAATTAGAACAATATGTGTAGTTTGTCATATGCTACGTAACATGATCTTGTACATGTTTTTACAACATTGCATTGTCTAGAATATAGTAAAACCGATCATAGAATACTATGAAGTACAAAATGCAAGTCATTAAATTTTTCAATGATGGTAATTATTTATCTTCATTTTACATTATGAATTTGATTAATTTTTATATGAAACAAATATACCTGTTTTTGACAAAATATGTATAATTGATATGTGATAATTGATATTGATATGTAATGACTTTAAGTTTATCAAATATTTTTATTTTAAACGTATAGAAGTATAATATAGAATGATTAAAATGAAAAAATATCAAATAAAAAAATATTTTTTATGTATATGATTAAAAAATATTAATATCATAAACATACCATAAATATTTACCATAAACATATATGTCGATTTATTATTTATATTTTACAATTAATAAAAAAATTTACAAATTGTAATTAAGTACATTAAAATAAAATAATTAAAAGCTAATATAGTTTTTATTAGTGTATTTAAAAAAAAATAAGAAAAATTCTAAAAAATTGTATTAGAAAGATCCATTCTGTGATTTTAAATTCAACGACCCATCTCTATTTATGAGAGGGATTAATGGATGCATTATTGTATGCTTTATATACATATAAAGCATATCTTATACATTATATTATATATTTATTAAGCTACTACTGCGTAGATATTATACGCACCAACCACGTGGTTGAATACGACGCATGCGTGACACGTGCGCGTACATCTAACCTCACCAAATGAATGTATGACGACGACCCGTAACCGTATCGTGAAGAATGCCAGTATGTATCGAGTTCCGTAACGATTCAAATAAACAATTAAATGGAAACGCCATGTATCCCCATATTTTAAGCAAGTAGTGTAAGAAAATAAAATAACTTATATGTGGCGTGAATACCAGGAGGGGACTATACATTGTAAATTTACTATTATCGTGAGTAGCAGGCTTTTCAACTCCAATACGTTCCATTAAGACACGATCAACGAATACGATTACATCTCATTATTTCGAAAGAACGAACGTTATCCTCATATCCTTTTGAATGAATGTTTCGGCGATTACAAAGCAAATGTTGCTACATAAACGATAAATCGGCATCAATTATTGCCGAATGCGCGTTGTCTACTTCAAAAGAGTGCATATAAAAATTGCGGCATTTTAAAGCTGCGAATTGAAAATTACGTTAAAGCATCTTCAGGAAATATGAATACTGAAATTTATGAGACTTTACCTACATCATCTGTGGCTGTACACATGACAGCAGGTGCATTTGCCGGAATTATGGAACATTGTGTTATGTATCCACTTGACAGTGTTAAGGTAATAACTTTATTTCTTGTATATTTTTTCTAAGATATTTTACATAACCTCAACTATTATTTCACGGAATTTAATTTCCGTCATATTCTAACATCATCATGACATTTAATACCATGACATTGCAAGTCGCACAATCTTTGAATAATAAAATGTGATATTCAAAGATAGTTCTTTGAATTTTATCTTTTTCCTTATTTAAATCTGGAAATCAGGTTTGTCATATATGATCTCGTCGATGTAATCTTAAATAAATAGAAAAGTAAATTAAATTAAATTTTTAAGATTGCAAATATTGCAAATATTCGTAAAATATAATATAATATTAATATTCAATCATAATTTCGTGTTTTGTATCTTAATTTAAATAATTATAAATTTATTGTGCAATCAGTTTAAGCAATATAATTTCGTAATTACTTCCAGGTATTAATTTTTAGAATTTACAAATGATTGTATTAGTTATCAAATAATTTAATATTAATATTTTGTAATAATAGTTTATTATATTTCAATACGTATTGCAGTGATAAATATATAATTTATTATTATCTGAGAAAATATTGTTGTTAATGTAAATTTAACTATTCATAATTAAATAATAATGGAATTGTGTTAACTGATAATAATAAATAAAAAAGATTTTATGTAATAAAAAATAAACTTTCTAATCTCTATTTAATTGTTTTTAATTAATTTATAAATATGTAAACATTTCTTATAATCCCTTTTTATTATTAAAATATATGAATAAAATTCTACTTATCTTTTTATAATAACTTGATTTTAAGTATTTATTTTATATAATTTTATTTATTAATTATATATATATTATTTCAGTATTTGATATATTTATTATGCCATATTTATATATATTATATTTTGCAAAGTATACACTTATAATACTTAAATATTATATTTGTAATTTTATAATTATTATTAATTAAAAAAGATTAATTGTAAATAATTTTAACATGTAAAATAATTAAACTGAACATGAGTTTCAAACATTCATTATATAACACATTTCTTAGTTCTGTTACAGTAGGTTCTATTTTTGGTTTTCTTTTCAACCTACAATCTATATTAGCAATTACTTTCACAATTACTTAGAAAATATACTTGCAATGAAATGTAAATATAAAATAATATGAAAATTTATATCATATAAACAATATATCATAAAAGTAAAAATTTTAAATTTAATTTAATGTTTTATATTTTCTTTATATTATTTTTAAAATATTATGTATTTATTTATATATTTCTTATTGTAATATAATATATTTAGTGAGATTATTAATAAATATTCAATTAAAAATAATTATATTTTTAAATAATTGCAAATCATGATTTTATTTATTTTAGTATTTCTATATGTTTTCTCATCATATCAATTAAAATTTTAAAAAAGTAATAAAGATTTTCCAATCTAATAAATATTTAATAAAAGTTAAATAATTTTAACTTTTTTATTATTGCATTCTAAATCATATTTTTATATGTATAATCTTTACTTTAAATTATAATTAATTAATATTTAAATGTATAATCAATACTTTAAATTAGTAATAAAATATAAATTTAATAAATAAAATTTTAAGTAAATAAATTTATTTATATCTATATGTATTTTATATTTTATTTATATTATTTAGACAAGAATGCAAGCATTAACACCAAATGCAGGTGTAAGAGGTGGAGTAAGAACTGTTCTAAGGAGAATGGTACAACAAGAAGGTTTTTTGAGACCAATTCGTGGTATGAGTGCAATGGTTGTAGGAGCTGGTCCTGCACATGCATTGTATTTTTCATGTTATGAGTTTATTAAAAATAAATTTTTGAATTCAAGAACATATTCTGAATTGAATGTAGCTCCTTATGCAATTGCTGGTTTTGTGGCAACACTTCTTCATGATGGTATAATGAATCCAGCAGAAGGTAAAATATTTTAAATTTATTAGCAAATAAATAAATTATTCATTTATCATGTAATTTTCATATATTATGTCAGAATATTTCCAAAACATGCTAAATACGTTTTTTTATGGAAACTTAATCAGCTAAATGTGGTTAATAATTTTTAGAATTTTTTCCAATGAAGAAAATAATTATCTTATTCCAGTGGTTAAACAGCGATTACAAATGTATAATTCTCCTTATCAAAATGTTATGACATGTATAAGAAATATATATAAAAATGAAGGTGCATATGCATTCTATAGAAGTTACACGACACAATTGACTATGAATATACCTTTTCAAACAATCCATTTTGTTACTTACGAAGTTGCACAAGTTATCACAAATCCTAATCATATTTATAATCCAATAGCACATATGGTATCAGGTATATATATTTTTTGAAAAAAAAAAAAATATATTATATTATATTTTAAAACTTATTTATATTTATATTTATTATATTATATTATATTTATATTGGATTTAACATATGAATAAATTACAGGTGCATTAGCAGGAGCTGTTGCTGCTGCAGTTACAACACCTTTAGATGTTTGTAAAACACTTCTAAATACACAAAATGGTGTACAAGCTCAAGGCATGAAAGATGCTTTAAGAATTGTGTATAGATACGGAGGTTTATCTAGCTATTTCCGTGGTTTAAATGCCCGTGTTCTTTATCAAATGCCAGCCACAACTATTTGTTGGTCAACGTAAGTATATAAAATAATTTTAACAAGAATTATATTTAATATTATAAAATGGAAAAATATTAATTATAGATACTTAAAATATAGAATTATATGTCTATAAATCTAAAATAGATTAATAAAAAAAATTAATGCAATAATTATGATATAAATAACTTATAATATTTTCTATTTTATATTATATTATATATATATTATTTTATATTATATTACTATGTAATATTATTTAAAATGTTAAATATAATAATTTTTGTTTATTAATTATTTAGATATGAGTTTTTCAAATATATATTTCAAGAAAAACAAGATGATGGATATCGTGGACCAGAAGTTGATAATGATTCTTCGAGTGAAATTAATCAGAACCAAAGTTCAAATTCTAGATTTCACTTTCTAGTCTTTTTCAAGATATGAGCTTATATCTCAATAAAAATGCTCCAACTTCAGTGTTACTTGGTGTGACAACGAGTTAAGTATTTTTGAATCTTTACTGACACCATTTGAACTGTATGAAGAACTTGAATGGTAGATAAAATATCCGTTTTTTCGTATTTGGAGAGTTTATCAACAATATTTCGTTAATTCATCTACGCTATTATTACATGTATATAATAATTCATAATGAAGAAATACATGTATAAATGAAAATCCATTTTGAGCCAAGTGCAGGACGCAAGCTCAAGGAATAAGAAAAATGAATCAGAAAATTTCTTTAGTTATTTTTTAATATATGACTATTTAATAATGTATAATTACAAACTAATGACTGCATTTTCTAGTACATTGAAGTAAACGGCAAGTAGTAATTTACAAATATTTACCAAACCATTAAAACATTATTAATTAATATAAAATCTAAAACAAGGAATTGTTAATATAATAAAAAGATATTTTGTTTTTCTTAACATACTATAAAGATATAGAATCTTTGAAACTTTTATTGAATATCATATTTTATTAAACAAAATAATTAACAATGTATTATTTTAAAAAATTAATGAAATACAATTATTAATTAGTAATATTATTTCATAAAGGATAATATAATATAAATGTTGTGTAAATGATAGTTATCCGGTATTATTAAATATACTATCATTTACCATATCGTTTATATTAATCAACAAGAAATTCATTATGAAAATTTAAAAAAGATTATATAACAAACATGCTAAATTATATGTAAACTATGTTCAATTTATTTATGAAATAGTTTATATACTTTTGTTAAAATAATTTATGAATTATTCGCGCGAATGTATTTTTGGCGTTCATAAAATACGTGATAAAAAAATTTAAATGTTACAATAATTATTCATTAAAGTGAGCCATGTAATTTTGAATCAAAATGATATACACATATTTTGTATAGAAAAAAACTGTTAAAAGTATTTTAATTAAATACAGTAAAATTATATTGGTTAAATCATAAATAAAACAATAATATAATTATCTTTAAAAATATTAAATTTGAAAAATATTTGAATAGTAAATTAGAATAATAAATTTAATTAGTATATTTAATATTGTACCATTATTGTACACTTAGATTAAAAAACAAACAGTGGGATGCATGGAAAAATTGATTAGCGAAGCAGTGTGTAGTATAATTAAAATGATACATTTAAAATTTGAAATTAAAAATTTTTAATTAAAAATCTCATATACTTCGAATGAAAAATATAAAATTTTAGTATTCGATTTATTATCATAAAATGATAATGCGGTTCATCTAAATTTAGATAAAATGTAAATTTACTAATACCTTCATTAATCATGAAATGAAACATTAGATAAGTCCTGCATAAAAAGGTACAGAATTTAGACTATCTTGTAGAACAGTATAGATAAGTTAATATTACGTGCGTGTGTACAGTATGAAGAAACAAATTATAAAGCAAAGAAACGGCAATCTTATTGTGCAACAAGTACAATTCGCCTTGATTATACAAGTACAAATTAAGAATTGCTCCTTAGTCTGTGTAATATAAATAATTCATCTAAACATTATATCACAATATTGCTTCCTATGGCTGTGATTACTGAGTCATTTGATGTTGACTTTAAGAGGGAGTAATATCATATGAAAACTCATACTTCACGCCATATTTATTTATTATTGTTCATCGCTACCGATATAATATTATTTGACACCTTAAAACATGTCATTAATTGTTGTATACATAAAAATATATGTATAATCTTTTTATAAATGTCTTTTGATAAATTTTTTTTCAAACGAAGAAAAATATATATTTAAATTATTTTTATGGTGCGAAGATATGATTTTTAACAAAAAAATAAAATTTATAATAAAATTTGGCATATAAATTAATCTATGCATGTAAACATACATGTATATGTTATATGTATAATGTAAAATGCCAATATACCGAATAAATAAACAGTATTTAGTTCGGTGTTTAATAAATGTGCATTTCGCAGTAATCTTTAAAATTTAATAATCGCGCAAAATTTAATTTTTTTTAATCGTTTAAATAAATACTCACTTAACATAGTATAAAAAATAATATTAGCGCCTAATTTTTATTAATATTTACGAAATTAAATTTTATGTATATTTGCAGAGATCATGATGACCAATTGATTTTTATGGACTATTTACCTGAAAAATTAATAGAATTACTCATTTTAATTAATATTTGCTTATTAAATTTTTTTTATCAACTTATATATAAAATAATGCTCCCACTGATATATTATTGCATAAGTTGATAATGTTAGCGCACGAAAAAATAAATGAACGATATACAATAAAACGTATTATATGTAATAATAATGTAAATAAAATGATTCTGTAATGTAAATAAAATATAAAAAGAGTCATGAAAATATTATTTTTGTCTACTAAATTAATAAAAAAACATTAGAAAATCGCGATAACACGTATTCTCATTTCAGAGTTATGCTATGTTGAAAATTCTTTATAAATGTAATTTTTTTTTAAATCAGTGGGCTTATATCCAAATTTTGATTACAATTTTATATAAATTATTGAACACATAATAAAATTAAATCATGACGACCAAAGGAGTCTGTAATACACGTTGTCAAGCATTTCATACTGAAATGATAAAAAAAGAGGAAAACACACGTATTAACTGGTTTTTGAAAAACCAACAGAAATTATTGGATCATTTAGAAAAAGTAACAAAAGTTGAATTGCCGCCGAAATATGAACCAGAGAAAAAACCAAGCATAGGCATTGTATATAATCGTAAATAATATATTACATATATCTATACTTATTTCATAATAAGAATTATATGAGATTTTTTATTTTATAGATACATTTAAAACCCTTACCAAATTGGAGACCTCTCGAACCTGATGGTTCTATCAATATGAATATAATGAAACCAATTGATCCACAAACGAGAGCCATGTTATTTGAAGACGCTCCAAGCTTTATCACCAATGAAAATTATACTTATAAAAGGTTTTGCATATATTAATATTTTGTAGTAAAAGAAAAAAAGATTTCAATAAAAAAATCTGTTATATTTCTTCCTTTCAACTTTTTTTTATTGAAGAATATACCAATATTTTTTACTAATATTTTCATTAATTATTTTAGATTAAAAGATCTTCCAGAAAGTCGTTATTACTATCCGGAGTGTACAAATTGGATATATGGATGGCATCTATCAGATTATCCACCAATTCCACGAAGTAAAGTTTCACACACATTTGTTATGATGCGTGAATTTTATCATCCAAAAATATCAAGTCTTCATAAAGATCCAGAATGGTATCGTCCTTCAAGAAGATTAACATTTGTATGCGATGAAATTAATTAATTATTCTATTAAATAAAATTTTCATCAGTATTAAATAAAAATTTCAATCAGGTATATTTTTTATTAAAGTTTTATAAAAATTGTTTATCAGCTATCTTTTTTAGATATGACCAGTAAAAATTTTATAAATAAATTTATTATATAATTCGTTAATTTTTATTTTTCGATTTATATTATTTTATAAATAATAAAAAATTTTCTTATTATATTAATATTATATATAAATTTATTATATAAAAATATTAATATTGTAAAAATTTTGTGTTTTTATTTTTGATATCATTTATTATATATTTTATATAATAATAAATTTTTTACATTCATTTTTTTTGTTTTTTTTAAAAATAAGTTATGTTTAATTAACGATACTTTACATTTAATACAATTTCAACAATAAAGATATTTCGCTTTTGACAATTATATGTTTTTCACATTGAAATATTACAAATCAGAATAATTTTTTTTTTTTATATTTTATAACATTTTATAACATTTTAATATTTTACATTATAATATTTTAAAGAGAAATACTTTCACATATTATATATTTAATTTTATATTTTTCTAAGTTATTCTATTTATCTTCTTCTATTATTCTATTATTCTTTTTATCTTCTTTATCTATGTCTAAATTAATCAAATGTTGTAATTCTGGTGGTAATAAATAATCTGCTTGTCCTGGTATAGCATGAAAAATGAAATTAATGAATTTTTGAAAATGTTTAGTAACATTATAGAGTTTTTCCTCTAAAAATTTCTTATTTGTATGACAATTAATAATTTCTTCTTTCATAATATTAATTATATCTCTCAAATGGATTATTAATTCATAAAATTCATCAATTTTTTCCTGCATTAATATATAATTTTTTATAAAATATTTTTTTTAAATAATTAATAAAATTTGAATAATTTTATTACCTCGAAGTATTTATGTATGGCATGTTTTTCTCTATTACTTCGTACTCGCTCTAAGCAAAGAACATAAATTATATCTGTGACACTTTGCATTTCAAATTGACGTTTTTGAATATACATATCTCTATTCGCTTTTTCTTTTAATTCTTGCATTTCATTTTTAAATTTAATATGCCTCTTCCTGTGTGAATTTTAATTCAAATTAATTATACAAATGCATCATTTACGAATATGCAGATATAAACCTCATGATTTGGTTGAAATCAGCGATTATAGTATCTCTTTTAGCACAAAATAATTTTTCAAAATCATTATATAATGATTGTGTAATATGAGTGATTTCTACGCGCATCTTTCGTATCATTTCCTGTGTTATATTCATCCGTTCTTGTATAATTGCTTTTTGAGTATTCTTGGCACATTCTTCGGCTGCTTTAAACCATTCTTTCTAAGAAAAATAATTATCTTTTTTTTTTTATAACTTATAGCTTATCTTTTGTTTTATTAGTATTACATATAAATATATAAATTTTTCCATTTTATAAACTATTTTCTCAAAAATTAATAAAGATATCAATTTCTTTTATTTTTTCAAATTAAATGAAGAAATAATGATAGGAGATCTTTTGATAAACAACAAATTTTTTTTTAGCATAAATCATTGTTAGAACGAAAGATAGAAAGCTATCTTAGATTTTTTAAATAGAAAATGGTATTAATTTTTTGTTATTCGAACAATTCTTATCAAATAAAATAATGCTCATTAAAATATTAAAATTACTTAAATTATTTTTTTTTACTTTTATTATAAGTTAAGAATTTATAGTAAAAATTTATATACGAATGCGAAAAAATCGGAATATTTTATATTATTTCATTACATGTTCAAAATGTAATTATGTAATTTTAATTTTTTTAAACATTCATATAGAAAAATTTCTTATCTTATTAGTTTTCTTACTAAAAATTTGATATTAATCATTTATTATCAATTTATATCAAAAGACAAATTAAAAAAAAATTTAATTAAAAAAAAAAGAAAATTTATAAAAAATGATTTTTTAATACTTTATATGAATTATTCTCTATATTATGTGAATATAAATATATATATATATATTTTCTTATTTTCGTATATATTTTTTCAATATTTTTTCAATCTCATTCAATTATCTGTTTTTAATTTTTATTTGAATTATTTCTGTTTTTATAAGAAAAAATTATTTTTAAAAAAAATTTAAATAATTAAAATAACATGACAATTAAACAATACTTATAAAATAATTAAATCTTTTTATAAAGCTTAGTGTTTATAATATTTTTTTATTGAAAAAAATTGAAAAGATTTTTTATATCGTTAATTTTTTTTCGAATTAAATATTATATTTTATTTTTTCATAAGACAGTATTTCAATTAGATAACGATTCTCATATAGAACAACCTTGAACAAAGTTATATAATCGTATATTAAACGTTTTTAAAATAAAATTTTTCATTACATGAAATTTTTTGTTTGTATAAGACTTTAATTATAAATGTAAAATTAATATCATGAAATTAAAAAAAAAATTATTTATTTATTATATAATAAATTCAATTATATTAAATTAGTCACGAAATCTTAAATTTTTTTAATATTGTTAACATATCATTCATATCATTATTTATCTATACGATAAAAACATATCAGCTTATTAGATTTTACAAAAAAAGAAAAAAAATAAAAAAGATTTTTATGTATATGAAAACATTTTATGTATATGATTATGATTATTATTTTATATATATATATATATATGACCAATTGAAACATTATTTCAAATTTAAATAAAATATTATTACGTTATTTTTTGTTGAAATATCAATATTAATTAAATTATAATAATATATTAATTAAATTCTATTTTTTTTTCTTATACTTAGTATATAGATAGTTATTTATAACAAATATTGAAAAATATTCATTTAAAAAACAATAAATTCATGTGAAATTGAAATTTATGAAAAATATATAAAATGTATTGAAAATTATTACTTCGAGCTGTTTTTGTAAATTAACTCGAACAGATTCAAGGAAATTCTGGTATTTTTCATGCAATTGTTGTGTTTGCAGATCGGCTTCTCGCCTTTTTTTTGCTTGATATAAATAAAACTTCTCTCGTGATTGCCTTTCTACTTTTTCCCTTAAATTTTCTTCAACTTCCTTTTTTAAATTTTCTAAGAGAGCTTCACCTATCTCTATTAATTTTATTTAAAATATATTTGAATTATTATTTTTATTCGAATTACGTCGCATATATTTAATAATATTACCTAATATATTTTGATGTACAAATGCTTTTATGATTTGATGATCTGTTGGTGGTACATCATTTTTGATCATTTGATCCTCGGGAGAAATTGAAAAGCATGGTTTTGATGTTTTTGATGTTATTAGTACATCTAATAATTTTAATGTATCATGATGAGTATAGTCAAAAAATACTTGTGCCAAGGATGGACCAAGGCAAGTGCGGATTACTGACGATGGCGGAACATCATTGTTTGAACATAATTTTACATTACATTTTACACTTGTTTGATCTGTAAAAATTTTACTTTTTCTATTCACTCAAAGATATAATAAAATAATAAATAGATATTATTTTGACTTACGCATATTCTTTATATTTAAAATTTGTTACGAAAAATTTATAAAGAATAAATAAATTTTAAGAAAGAATTAACCTTTCCAAAATAATATCTTTAATTGATGACAGATGATTGATCTGAAGAAAGAAACAAAAAAAAGAATAACCATTCTCAAATGTAAAAATTTTGGCAATAATACATAAGACTTACATTCAAATAACACTTAAAAATTATATTTATAAGAATAAAATTCTATTAAAAGATATAAATTCATATAATACAATTTGTTTTATAAAATTGTATCATTATATATA